ATCAGACAGACTGAGTGTTACAGCAGAATGCTCACTGGTTATAAAGAAGGTCACAGCTGAGGATGTTGGTCGTTACACCTGCAGACAGTTTAGAGGCAATCCAGGGAAACAGCAAGGTCCAGATGCTGTGGTTTATCTGTCTGTTGTTAGCAGTGAGTATTTGCAACACTATATTTTTGAGCTCAAACCATCCTGTTAGAACAACATGCTGACAAGTTACATTTTGAAAAAAGGAAACTTATATTTATTTGGTATTTCTCTTGAATTTCATCTTCACCAGTGACTGAACACAAGAAAGCTGTTGAGGTGACTTTAAACTGCTCTGTGTGGACATATGAACGGTGCAAACACAAAGTGAAGTGGATCCATATCAGTGAAGCTCCGGATAGAGATTACTCAAATTTAAAAACATCGGAGTCTTCCTGCTCTGCTACTGTGACTTTTCTGAATGATGCATACACTCATATATCAACTTGTGACTTTAACTGTAGTGTAACAACAGAAGGAAAAAAAGAGCAGCTTTTTACCTTCAGCACTCAGTCATCAGGTAAGAAACCAGGAGAGATTCTGAAGAACCTTTCAAAATAACTTTGCATTAATCTGACTAATTACCTAAAATATCCACTCATTTTATTGATCTGAAGCTTTAATTGACTGAACTTAGTTTCCTAATGAAAGGTTCACTGAATTTTATTCAGGTGAGAAATCAAATACTGCAACAACAATAAAGTCAGAAACTACAACTGGAAACACAACAAAAGAGCTGGAAATCATGGATGATTCAACAAAATTACAAGGTAATCAACAATATTCAGCTTTTTTTTCAATATTTCTATATTTTAGAATGAAATGTTTTAATTTCAGATGACGTGTTTTTTTTCCTCTGTATTCATCTACATTAAAAAACAAAAACAATCAGAAAATGACATTTAAAATATTATTTTCATGCTTTTCATGCTCTGTCTCCAGGCTCATGCTGGTACAGGCTCATCATAGTGCCTCTGGGTTTAGCAGCACTTATAGCAGCTGTTGTGGTCATCAATATCTGGACAAGAGCTGGTGAGAATGTTCACACATAAGCAAGAAGGGTTGATAAACCAGACATGAAGCTCTGAAGAAGCACGGGTTTATGATTTTGTATTTTACAGGTGTGTAAAGATGGTGAACAATGAAAAAGTCCAGTCTACTGAAGTAGCTTGACCAACCCTCCAGCTTCTATCAGATCTCACTGATCAGCACATCAACAAGCTTTATATTTGCACGAGGAGCAGAAGCTTTTAAAAAGAGAATCGTTGTTTTTGCCTTAGTCACAGTTTGGACAACAATTTGAAATCTTGATATGATCTTTTTAGAACCACAGTGACTTTTCTAAAATACCTGCCTGCATCAGCGGTAAAAAGCTCTTTCTCCTTGTACTGTGTTTTTTGGAGGTGTACATTGTTTTTCATCAGTTTTCAGCAGGCAGGGGTAGCTTTTGGTGGTTTTCTGGACCACAAAAACAGAGGACTTCAGTACACACAGAGATAATGAGGGGGTGTGGAACAGGTGGGAACACAGCTGGGACAAATCAGACCTAACGAGACAAGGAACACTGCACATAGGACAGGGACTTTCACAGTAAAACAAGAAACAGAGTGGAATCCAGACATGGCAACACAAGCTTGACAATATGAACAAGAAGACAAGAAACATGACAGACTAACACAGATGACTTAAGTAAAACATAACTAAACTAAACTTAAGGCAACCAAATGATAATCCTATTACATAACATATTTAAAGGAATAACTTAAAGACTCAAAGCACTGCCCAAAAGCTTATCTCCATCTATACAAGGACAAGTGACCTCTGAGGAAGTTAGAGGAAGCATGAATAAAAACATATCTGTGATATCTGAAACAACTCATTTGGACTGTCTGCAGTGTTTATGTGGCAGCTTTGTGTATCCTATCTCATGTCAAGGCTTTCATTGGGGAGTGTGAACATTTCATTCTGTGGATTGCATTGCTCTACTGAAAATAAATCTCTTGTAAACTGGTTCATTCATTATAGAAGGTGATAATTTATACTTTGCATGTCCCACTTGTAGTAAACTTTTCCCCTAAAAAGCATGATTGGATACTGAAATGTTTAAACATAAAGAATCATTCATCTTCTGCAGCTTTAAAATATCTAAAATACACTCTGTGGTTTTTTGACCTGTGTCTGGTCGTCATTAGTGTCATGGTCCTGGGCCATGTTGGCCCAGTATTCTTAGTTTTTGTGTGTTTTGTATTTTGTTCCCTATTTATGCCTTGGTTCCTAGGTTATTTAGTTAAGATGTTCCTTATTTGGTTACCTCCTGTGTGTATCTGTGAGCCCTCGTCTCTCCTTGTGTTTTATTCCATGTTTTCC